AAAGGAGTAACTTCATAAATAAAATCATTAATGCATAAAAGAATATTATAATGAATTAAGTACTGTACTCTTTGTTTAAACAGAAGTGAAATTGTCACAAAACCAACCAACAAAAAGATACATATCCAATTTGAGATAGTTGTAATCCTTTAATTTCAAAGTACATATCCAATTAAGATAGCCAGATATCTACTTGTCAAATATATACTGCAGAAAAAAGATGAACCATATACTCATCTCATTACAACATTTTTCACTAGCTATTATTTAAGAAGAACAAAAATGTAAAGTGTTTGACCTGTATGTTCCCTAATAAACAGTAAGTAGGCTTTTGTTGAACATGATCTGGTTGAGATTTGGAAAAAGAAAAGGAAGTAGCATTTGAAGTTGAAAAAGGGTATTTAGAAGTTGAAGTTGCGTTTGGACATGGAAACAAAGTTGAAGTTCTGTGAGTGAAAACTTGAAAAAAACTCCTAAAATGTATAATTCAAACTTCAAATTTGAAGTTGAAATATTGGACCAATTTGATAAACAAGTAGTTGATTAAAATGATCTCCACGTAGTATTTCAAATTTTGGAACCAAAATTTATGGTAAAAAACAGAGCCTGAATAATGATCTGTCCTCCTCATTTGATGTGGAACCATCACTGGGAATGATTATAAGAAGTCAATCATAAATCATGTCATATATTAGTGGAAATTCTACATGGGGAAAATGCATAAAGCTACACTCATCCAGTGAAGTATAAAGTTTGAACTTACCTTCACTGATGTTTGATTCAATTGGTGCCCAAGTGTTTCCTTAAGCACTTGAACATCTACTTGTTTGGATGTTTTATCATACTGGAATTCAATCTTGTGTACCTTAATAATTCAGGCAAGGAAAACTAAAGGCTTTGATGCGGTCAAAAGAAGGTCTTCATCTAGCAGATTCTAAAGAGAGACAAACTAATTTTCTCATAGCTACTGTACAAAGAAGAATTTTTCCTGTGGGATATGAGTTCCCATCAAGCAAGCAACGTGCAAATTCGACATTTCCAGTGACAGACATGATCCGAGGTATCATTTCTTCCATTTTCAGCCTAAAGAATAAAGGAACTAATACTCGTCAGCTCCACAAAAAGTTCTCAATGAGGTATGATTTATTTTCAACATAAACAATGACTTATTACCAATAGTACCAAACAAATGGATTTGCTACTTGCTAGGGATGTCCTTGGAAGATATGAGGGACTTGTACAATAATTATTATTTACCCACTAGCCCCTATATTACTAGTATTGAGGAGGGTGTGTGAGTGTGTGTATGGGGTGGGGGGCATTCATTTGTAAATCATCAAGAAAAAAAAAAATCAAGTTCTCTACAATACACTAGTGTTTTTTAGCAAATTTGGAATAGCAAGATCGTGAGTAAGTTGTGCAAGATTGTGAGAGAGTTGCCAAGTGTCACACGTGCACTTAGTTGAAGACTAAGGACATGGCAATACACTATTATTATATGTAGAAGTACAAAACTATGAAATAGTCTAGAAGCACTTAAAGAATTGCCATCTTTGCTAAGTCACATCTATGTCACTGTTCTAGTAGACAAGAAGACCTAGCAAAAAGTCACATCTATGGCCTTCTAGTAGACAAGAAGACTTAGCAAAAATGTATTTTAATAAAAATACAACATTGCAGTTTGAAATCAACTCACCAAAAACAGAATCTATCACCAACAAATGTTATTCATTCAGAATTATATTAAAGTACAAACTTTTAACAGCAGATGGCCATAAACCATTACATCCCCAGGTTTAGATTTCAAAAGTGTAATAAAAGATGATTATGCTCAATTAGCAAGGGTTGGGAGACTTGTATTTTAATTTACTAGTTTGTTTGAACTAAGTCCAATACTTGAGTGGAGAAAAGTAAAGAGTGAGCCCATCATTCCCGAGTTTCGAAAGCTACGTTGACCAAAGGGTTGGCTCGTGACTGATTTCTCCATCACCAAAAAATTGACTGCAACAACTCATCCATTACAAAAGAACTCTCATCAACCAAGTTGACATCACACTTCCAAATTACCTCTAACCAGCTCAACCACATCACAACTTTAAATGACGCTTTTAAATGAATTTTGAACCACCTCTGCAACAAACAATATTTAAGAGATGCTCAGCTAAAATCAACTGCTTACTTGAAGACGAACCACTGTAACTGACCCATCATTGTCAAGCTTACACAGCTAATACTTCCAAACCATCACGATATAAACAATCCAATCTAACAACACAGCTCGTCACTGAACAATCACCTTTCAAATCTCAGTTAATTCTCTCCATTTCACTTGTTTAAGTATGAACATTAAGGGGGCATTTGGTTTGACGTATTGCAGAAAATAATCACAGTACAAACTTTGTATTAGTTAGTCCTACATTTGGTTGACCATTTCACATATGGTATAAATAATAACTGTATTTCTTATACCGGAATCTCCGTATAATTTTATACGGAAGGCAACATGGAATAACTAATCCTAGTATTAGCCATACAGGGATAAATCACCTAAAAGACTAAACTAACCCTGTCCAGTGAGACATCATTCATAACATACTTCCACTTCAACTCTGCAGACAACCCATTTCTATCTTTATTGCCCATTGTTCTACTTCAACAAACAGCCCATTATGATCTTGGGCACCAATTGGGTGTTTGTTTGTTTTAGTTGGTTTTGTTGTTTGTATCTCATTGCTTTTGTGTTTAATCGGGTGGACAGGAACATTGTGGTGGCTTTGGTGATTTGGGTTTTCTTTTGACTTCCCCTCTACTTGCTAATTGTTCCTCCGCCATATCTGAGTCTCCATTTAATTATACATGTTTGTATTAAAAGATTCATTCACCAAAATAAAGCTCTTTACAGGCAACATGATGTTGTTATTCTGTAAAGAAGACAAGGGTATAATTGTAAATGATAAAATGTATATCCAACTTTTAATACATAGACCAAGCACCTGATAAAAAATAATGTCTACATTACAATCTCTGTATTACTAATCCCTACATTAGAATTCCCGACTTGTTTTTAAACCAAATGACCCGCAAGTCCTTACAGGAAACACTAATCCTGTACACAGACTGAATTTCACAGATTCAATAATTCTACTCTTCGTATCACTAAGTGTAACGCATCTAGGACTACTAAATTCATAGCTCTAATCAACATACAACAACAACAACAACAACAACAACAGAATAGTGCAATAATCAATAAACAACATACTAGGACAGATTATTGAAATCAAGAATAAACAATGCTACAGATAAAAAACAAGAACTACAACAAAACTAGTACTAATCAACATCTAATATTCTCCAATTTAACTTGTTGATGCAAATAAACCATATATATCAGGTTAAACAAATTGGACGCACAAGATGAATTACCAGAATTTATAGTTGTGTGACCATACTTAATGTGAATTCTGAACCACCATCACAACAAAGTCTATTTAATGAGATTCTTCTCTTGTATTCAACTGCTCATATCTCAAGACAAATAGTAACTGACCACTGTCAAAATTATGTGCATTCTTCGTCTCCCTCAGAATTCAGAACACTCCAATCTTGAATAGCACAAAAAATTGACCTATCAATACAGCCTGGTACTAAACACCCACTTTCCAAAATTCAAGTTTATTCTCTCCATTTCAGCCTAAAGAAAAAGGGAACTAATACTACTCATCAGTTCCACAAAAGTTCTCAATGAGTTATTATTTATTTTCAACATAAACGACTTATTAACACCAATAGTACCAAACAGCCACCCCACCCCACCCACCCACCCAAAAAAAAGTAACAGGCACAACAGAAAATTAAAAGAACTGCCAAAGTGCGGAGTTCTTAAAAATAAAAATCAGTGGACATGGTTTTTGAAGAATAGGGCCTGGTACCTGCACAAGATAATATTTGGTAGTAACCAGTTTAGTACAAGTTGATAAAATGTTTATATCATAGTTCTGCGGAAGATCTTAATCTGTATAAATCACACTTGATCAACTGTTGGAGTTACACTTGGAGGAATCTAGATTGCAGAACCACAGGCATAAATAGTCAAGATTTGAGAAGAGGAAGAAACCTGGCGAGGTTGAGAGACAAGTGTACTTAACTTCCCAACATCACTAAATGCATTGCCATCAATTCATAAAAGGTCCCAGGAAATCCACTATCATCATCCCAAGCTGGCATAGCTCCAAAATCTCACCAAAGAAACACAAAAGTAGATTCATTTCCTTCGCTTCTCCCCAAATCACATTTGAAGCATAATGGAATCCTGGAATTTTTTTTGAGAAAGTAACTTGTATTCTATTCCAAAGCAAAAAACCAGAACCTGCCACAACAAATTACAGGTTCCTAATTACAATTGTGGAGAGTATAGCAGGAAGATCTTCAATCCTGGAATTTCCGATTCACATGATCGTATGCCTTTTCAAGATCAAGTTTGCACAACACACCAGGTACTCCCTGCTTTATCTTTGAATCCATCAATTTGTTTGCCACCAACACTGCATACAAAATCCGTTTGCCCTCCACAAAAGCATTTTGTGAAGTAGAAACGACTTCAGCCAACACCTTCTTAACTCTTATAATCCACTGCGCTCGTAGCTCACTCCCATTTAGGGATGATAACAATGAACGAGGCATTCAAACTCTTTTCAAATTCACTACTATGTTGGAACTCAGCAATAGAATTCATCACATTTGTTTTGACTGTATTCCAGCAATGCTAAAAAAAAGCCAAAGAGAAACCATTTGGGGCCGAGCTTTGTCACATGCTCAACACTCTGCCACTCTTTTCCCCTCCTTCTCCTCGATTGCCCTCTCCAACCATTCACCTCCCGTCCAATTAGACTGAACCCTAAACCCCCCCATAGTAGGCCTCCACTCCACTTTTTCTTTTAAACAATTTTTCATAATAATCTACAACTGCCCCCTCTACTACTTCCCCCTTTCCCACATGGCTTCTATTTGCTACTGCTTCCCTGTGAAAGAATTTAGTATTAAAGTCCCCCTCCTTCAACCATAACGCTCTCGATTGATGCCTCCAACAAACCTCTTGGGGCGGATGGCCATAAAAGTTATCTAACCTGGGTTTTGCTTTCCTCTCCTTCCAAGGCACTAAGGCAAAAGAATACAAGCAATCATAATATTTTTCTAAGGTAGTCAGCACATAACAGACTAGTCAAGGTGACTAGAGTTACCGTGACATTGGCTCAAAGAAACAGCTTCACAAGATTTTAGGTTGATAATGACAATCTTCTGGAAGTAACCTGTTACATAGTGTTCTATTTTCTGGAAATAGTACTAACATGGGATTCTTTAAAGGAGCAAAGCCATGTGATAGATCAATGTCGAAAGCTTTGGTGAAAGCAATTTCAGATTCTGCTTCTCCACTCTTTGTTTTCTAAGATTTTACTGGTGATCCATCTTCATATCAAGGCTCCTCTAAGACTGAGAATTTTCATGAGATATTAAACACCAAAGAAACTTTAAACTGCTGTAGATTTCTCCCATGACTGGAGAGAGGAGGATTGGAAAAGTTACAATTCCTTCTGGTATTCCTATGGAAGCTTACTTTTCACCTTCTGATGCTTCCAATGATAAGGACCAGCGCAGGAAATGTGAAGAAAATCCTGGACTACAAAACAAGTAATCATCAGATCTGTCATCATCCTCAGCATCGGGAAAAGTAAATGGTTCACTGTCATGCCCCCCCAATGTGGGACTTCCCGGCGCGAATCCGGATTTAGTCGGGCTCCAATGTGGGTGCCGGACACCGGGTGGGAAACCAAACAAAAAAAAGTACAAAATTTCAGTTCATCTGTTTTCAAGGGCGTCAATTTCAAATTAGTGTTGAAGGAAACAAAAAGTAAAGTGTTTTCCATCTCCTGTTGGTTTGAAGAATTTGATCAACACTGTGAGAGCCTTGATCTGACAAACTTCTTCCATCATCATCATGATCCATTGGTCAGGCTCTACAATTGTCAAATGCATCATCATCCATATCTAGGCTGAACAACTCAAAGTTTGTTCTGGTGAAATCTGTTTCAGCTGGCACCGGCATCTCTCCACCAAATTGACAAATATATGCCTCAGACGGGGCAATGTCTAATCCTTCTTGGGCATATTCAACATCATTTCTTCAACACAATCTATACTAACAGAGAAGGCCTATTAACAATCAATTGATAGTGGATCACATAAAAAGAACCTTCCAGCATCTAAATGAAAGAATAACCCAAAACCACATACAATTCCAAAGCCACAAACCTTTAGCAACACACATATCAATAGACTCTGATCTATCATGTGGAATTGCTTCTGGTACAGACTTCCCAGGGTATCTCAAATGAACCAAAAAGGACACGGCAATCCTTTGCACTACCTTCATCAACTAAGCTGATGTCTGATGATAAAGAGGATCTACAGCAAAAGCGGCTGTTGAATAGACAAATAAACCATTTATAAAGTGAAAAGGGATAAATTCAGACGAAGAAGAAAATGTCAACGACAAGAAGCATGTATACCATCAAGTTTCTTCACATTAAAAGAATTGAATGATGACTCCAATGTTGATAGAGGCGATAACTGCAATTCATACTCAAATTGGTTTAGGAACAGGAAAATTATTCTGCAATTGTTATTTCTTAAAGAGAGGAATAGTTCAAAACTTTCTTCCTTGCTCTTTTTATGGGATGGCCTTCCTCCTGGTCATTGTGAAGGAGAAAGCAAAAGAATAACACAAATCGAAAGCAGTGGAATAAATAAAGATGATTATATGGGGATTGCACATTGAAATCGACCATGCCATAATTTTTTGTTTCGTTAAATCAGATTAAGAAAATTTAAAAATTCTTAAATCCATATTAGGAAAAATTGTAATAGATAATGACGCAAATTCTTGATCAACCATCATGAAAGAAAAAACCAACATCCATATACTTACAAGTGCAATCATAACCCTATTAACTGAACCAAAATTAACATACAAAAAGGGTAAGTTTCTAACCTTATCTTGAGAAGAAACTCTGATATGAACAATGGATGCCAACTAAGGTGATACTTTTGATAACAATTACAGATGAACATGTTGGGACGGAGCAGATGACTAGTTCTTTTAAACAGGGGGTGTGTTTCTATTAAAGCCTAAGGGTTTCTTTTGGAGGGGTGGGTTGGAGGAAAAGAAAGGAAGGAAATAGTAGCATCTCTTTTTTATAGATTAATTAATTTTTAACAACCGGTTATTTTACTTTTTAAGGACAGGATATTATCTCGTCAATAATGTTGAGCAAAAAATGGATTTAACAACCAGAGAAAATAGGTCGTTGTAAGCATATTTATGAAGACTGGATTCATGTCCCTTAGTTAAGAAATTGTCTTTAAAGTCATAATTACGTTTCCAAATTAAGATGAAATTTGTTGAAGTATCAAGAATATATTGATAAATTTCAAAATAGATTTCAAGTAGGTTCTATTTTTGTAAGGATTGATAAAGTACTAAATAGATTATTCTTTTGAAAACCCAAGCAAATGTTGTATGCATGGAAACAGGGCAGCTCAACTTCAACTAGCATGGAAAATTCTTAAGAGGAAGGCCCGGATCGAGAGAAACAACTTGGGGCTCTTTTGGGTACCTAAAACAAGAAAATCTAAAAGAAATTTCTACCGTGCTTCATATCCAAGAATCCATCACATAACTCTAATGGAAGAGCAGTAGACAGAGGTGAAAACTTTTAACTCACATTTGCTATCCCTTAATTCCTTGGCTTCTTAATAAACAAACTTTTGGTAATTTCTCGCAATAGCATTTTGGATATAAATCAACCAATAAATTACTATGAGGGTGTTTGGCTAAGCTTATAGGCTGGCTTATAAGCACTTTTTAGCTAATTTACACGTCTCGTAAACCCTCAAAGTTCTTATTAGTTGAATGCTTATAGGCTAAAATCAGCCAAAAGTCGTAAGTTGGTCACCCGTGACTTATGGCTTTTCACCTTATAAGTATTTCTAGTTTGACAAAAGAGTTTCACAATTTTATCCTTAATATCTTCTTAATTCTCAAAATATCTTTATCAAAATAAAAGATCCAACTTCATATTCATTCTATATCCGTGTTTTCTCTTTTCTTTATAAAGATACTATTAACTTTGTATTTTTTTTGTCAAAAAATTAAGGGTTCAAATAAAAAGTAACCTATAAGCATTTTTTTACCAAACACGTCAACTGATTATTATTGATTCTATCTAAATACATAACGACTTATTTACAAAAACAGTTTCAACACTTAAAAACCTATTGGCTAATCCAAACGAGCTCTATAAGTCCTCTTTAAACCATTCCATTTTGCCTCCAAATCGAGATATCACCATATAATGCTTACGTAAAAAGTAGTAGAGGAGGAGGGTGGGGGTTTGGAAGTGAATGAGTTTCCTCAATTTTGCAAGGATAAGTGCAGTCAAAAGCGAAAAGTGCAAAAAAGCTCTAAGGTCTATTGGGGCTTCAAGCACAAAGCGCAAATAAAGTGTGGACTTTAAAGAAAAAAGGGCGAAGGGAGAAAAATAAAAATATATATGTTGAGTCCAAGAGTAATAACTTATAAGCATGAATGAAAAATATATGAACAAAGAAATTGAAAAATAATTACGATAAAATGAAATATCTATTGTTTAGTGTCGTCTCTTTTAGAAGAAGTTCATTGGCAAGGAAAAATATGTTTTAGAACCTTGCTGACAACATTGAAGCACATTAAACGAGACAAAGCGCTCAACATGTTTTGAGCCTTGCTTCAAAGGCGCATTTGTCAATATGCAATAACTGATGCTAATCAATTACATGTTAACTTTGTAGATAAAAGTTTTTTGTAACAATGAGTTTTGTAGTCATATTTTTATTTGGTAACCGAGAAATTGGTCTGGAGCCAATCATTTGGGCTAATGTACAGTACAAAACTCAAAGATGATGATCTCACTTTACTCCATTTAAATACTAGATTAAGTTCACTTGACATAGAACTCAAACCATTGTATTAAAATACAAACCACCAACCTTTGCCAATTGAGCATAGTCATTTTTATCACGCTTTTTGAATCTAAACCTAGAGAAGTAACAACTTATTAGGTTGAAGCATATATGCGTATCAACGAACTTGTTATATAAAATTTTGTCTTCTCAAAGTTAAGATGAAACTGTCCATTGTATTGACTCATATACTTAATTGTATTTTGGTGATTACAGAAGCATTTTGATTTATTTTTTTCTAATTATGTGCTTATACATAATGTCTTTGGAATGTTTCAGTGGGAATGTGGACTTGGAATATTTAGCTCTGGTGTCATTTGAAACCAAAGCAAAACATTCCAAGTTCAGAATCTCCACTGAAACATTCCAAAGACATTATGTATAAGCACATAATTAGAAAGAATCACCAAAATACAATTAAGTATAAAAAGTCAATACAACGGACAATTTCATCTTAATTCCTAGAATGCAAAATCTCATATACCAAGTTCGTTAGCACACTTGTGTTTCAATGGTTCAACCAAATAAATCATTATATTTCCAAGTTTAGATTCCAAAAGTATGTTAAAGATACTATGCTCAATTGGCATGAGGCTTGTATTTTAGTACACTAGTTTGAGTTCTACGTAAGTGAACTAAATCTAGTATTTAAACGGAGACCATCATCCCAAGTTGGTCCAATGGGTTGGCTCCAAACCAGTCTTGTTAAAAACGTTGAAGCGCTTGCTAAAGCGAGAAGCGAAGCAATAGGTTGTCGCTCTAATGCCTTGAAGTGACGTGATAGTGAAGAAATGTGTGCTTCTGTCCCAAACGCGAGAAGCATGCTTTTTATAAAAGCTAGAAAAAGCTCGCTTTTAGAGACAAGCGCTAACTAGGGTTTTTTTTTATTTCTATAAAAATACTTACGTAAATTTTACCAAATATTTTCCCTCCTTTGTCGACTGCGGTTGGAATCTTTGTAAAAATACTTACGTTGGTTCTCTTCTCTTTCTGTTTCTCGATTGCACAAGGTATGTAGTTTTTTTTTCTTTTCAATCAGTTGTTCTTGTGAGAAATATTGGAAAAAAATATTATTGAATTGTTGTATCGATATTATTACATGGAGACCCTATTTATAGAACTACAATACAATCCTTTACCAAGTAGGAAAGTAAATACTATTCATATTTCTATTACTATTCCTATTCCTATTTCTATTCTAAGTAGGATTGTATATACCTATTCCTATTCTAACACTCTCCCTCAAGCTAGTGCATACAAATCATATGTATCTAGCTTGTTACAAATGTAATTAATACGCGAACCAGTGAGAAGCTTGGTGAGATATCTACCCGTTGATCACTCGACTTCACAAAATTGACAGTCAATCTCAATGTGCTTAGTTTTATCATGAAATACTGGATTGGATGCATAATGTCAGTCAATCTCAATGTGCTTGGTATTCTCATGAAATACTGAATTTGATGCAAAATGTTGTTATAACACAAAGTGAAAAAATTACGGTGTTGAACTTCCCAAACCAAGCTTGCAAAGACTGTTTCAAACCATAAAGTGACTGAACACAATTGACATACAAGGCTACTAAACTCCCCCTGAGCAAAAAAATTAGGTGGTTACTCCATATAGACTTCTTCACAATGCAACAGTTGCCGAAAGTGCTCAAAATCTAGTATAAAGTATATGGATCATGTTGGAATCAATAGAGGAGTCGATGTTAAACAAGAAAGGTACTGAAAAACTGGTTGGAGCATGCTCATACGCCTAAGAAATAAAATTATATGAGTTCAATCTAAATGATCGCACGACCCTATTGAAAAAGAGAAATTATATGGGTAGGGTGGGAATAATGGCACAATCCTACGCAAATCAAATTTGAGGAGTCACCGAAAAGATGAATGGAACAACGCAAATCAGATTTGAGGAGTCACCGGAAAGACGAATGGAACTACGCAAATCAGATTTGAGGAGTCACCGGAAAGACACATCGTGCTATGCAACTCAAGTATGAGAAAGTAGTTCGAAAAAATCCACAGTACTACGCAAATTAAATATGAAAAGTAGTCCGAAGAGATGCACGGTGTTATGCAAATTAGATTTTTAAAAAAGTCATCGAAAGGATGGCACGGTGCTACGCATATAAGATATGAAAAAGTAGTCACCGAAATGATGGCACCATGCTACACAAATCGATATGAGAAAGTAGATGATGGCCTGGTGCTACACAAATTAATTATGAAAAAGTAGTCACCGGAAAGATGGCATGGTGCTACACAAATTAAATATGAACAAGTAGTCACCAGGAAGATGGCACGGTGCTACAACTTTTGCTAACATAATTGTTGGCCAGACGGGCAACATGTATGGGTAATAGCCGTCCACCGACAGCAAAAGTTCTTCAATTGTTTACCAAGATCATTGAGGCTCTTATACCATGTGAGAAATATTGGAAAAGAATATTATTGAATTGTTGTATCTACATTGTTACATATAGACCCTATTTATAGAACTACAATACAATCCTTTACCAAGTAGGAAACTAAATACTATTCCTATTTCTATTGTTATTCCTATTTTTATTCTAACAACTCTCTTGTTATTTCTTCTAATTCAAGATTCCTCTATTTGTAATGCTACTGCGTATGCTCTATTTTTGTTTTGTTGCTCTGTTTTGTGAGAGTCATTGTTCTGTTTTTGCTTGTAGCAAGTTGTATTTTCTTATTCAATATCTACTTCTAGTATCTATTATTTACTTTCTTATCTAAGAATTGAAAGTTTTGCCTAATATGTTGGAGGTCTATTGAGTTCTAGTCATTGTTCTATTTTTGCTTGTAGCAAGTTGTATTTTCTTATTCAATATCTATTTCTAGTATCTATTATTAACTTTTTTATTTTATCTAAGAATTGAAAGTTTTGTTAAATATGTTACGTCTATTGAGTTCTTGATCATTTTTTTATGACAAAGGAAACCCACCGCCGCTACCCTTTGAGTGAGCTCTTGATCATTTTTTTATGACAAGGGAAACCCACCGCTGCTACCCTTAGGGTGCGCTAAAACCCCTGCTCCTATGTAATAGCTCGCAAACCACACAAGAGAGGTAACCAGCCCGATGCGACGAGCTCGACCCAAAAGTCAAACCCCTTGCTTTCACTGGCAAGGGGTTTCGAACATGAGACCTCCAATATGGAAGTCTCAATCCCAAACCACTAGGCCACCCTGACGAGTTTGAGTTCTTAATCATTTATCTATGCATATTTAATATTTTTTATTTTTATACTACATAATGCTTTTTGAAAAAAGTGTGTTTCACTTCACACTTCGGTGAAGTGAGCCATTGTCACTTTTTTTTCATTTCTCACTTTTCTTTGATTCTCGCTTCCAAACACTAATCTAAACCAATTTCTCAATCACCAAAAAAATTAACTACAAAAACTCATCTGTTACAAAAGAACTTTCACCAACTAAGTCAACATCATTTACTTCCAAACTACCTGTAACCAGCTCAACCGCATCACAACTTTAAATGATGCTTTTAAATGAATTTTGAACCACTTCTGCAACAAACAATATTTAAGAGATGATTATCTATAATCAACTACTTACTTAAAGACAAACCACTGTAACCGACCCATTATTGTCAAGATATCACAGCTAATACTTCCAAACCATCAAGAGTCAAAAACTCTAATCTTACAACACAGCTCATCTCGTTGAACATTCACATTTCAAATTTCAGCTAATTCTCTCCATTTCATTTGGGAAAGCATGAACATTAAGTCCTCACAAGAAACACAAATCTTGTACACAAACTAAATTTCACAAATTCACTAATCCTACTCTTTGAACCACTAAGTGAACTCATCTAGGACTAATAAATTCATAGCTCTAATCAACATCTAATGTTCTCCAATTTATCTTGTTGATGCAATTAAACCATATATTCAGGTTGAAGAAATTGGATGCACAGCATAAATTACCACGATTTATAACTGTATCACCATGTTTGACGTGAATTCTGAACAACCATCACAACAAGGTTTACCTAAGCAGATTCTTATCTAGTATTCAATAGCTCATCTCAAGACAAATAGTAACAAATCACTCACTATGACTGTCAAAATTATACACATCCTTCTACTCCAATCTTGAATATTTACGAAACATTGACCTATCAATACAGTCTAGCACTAAACACCAACATTTTTGATATGCAAGCTTCTTCTCTGAATTTTTAGCCGAACCACAAGGATGTTCTTATTTTTAATTCCATGTAGGAAACACAAAAAAAATTGAAATAAGGAAACAGCCTACGATGTAATTATGGGGAATCAAACTCAGATTCTCATTGTGGCTTTAAACCCACTAAACCAGAAATCTGATGATCCCACTCTTTGTATTCAATGAATGAAGTAGTCTAGGACTAATTAATTTTAGTGTTGATTTAACATGTAAAGTTTCCAAATTTACCTTACTGATCCAAATAAACAACACCTTCTAGGTTGAAAAGTAAAGTTGGGTTTAACAGGTGAACTGCCAGTACTCAAAAGTTTCATGACCACCCTTATGTTTTTTATTGAGTTATAGTCATGCAGACTTATAAGTTTAGGGACATAAAATTAACCAAACTAAAACTCCTTTCAATTAAGTAAAAGGATTGTACAGAACTTCTGAAATTAGAACACTACATCTAGGGAGAAAGAACCTCTAACCCAAAGAGAATACCACCAAACTTCTCGGTGCGAGCCTCATTGTCCTCTAAGTAGACCTGCTTCACCTTTTGAAACACATGCCAAGTCAGCAAGCTATCTGAGCCAGCCTGATGGCTATTCCCAACCAAGCGATTCAGCATGAGAGTTTCAGCAACCCGGTCCAATCCTCCATGAAGGTACGGGAAAAACATCATCATATACTTCACATCATAAACCTTTTCACCAAAAAAGACCTTCAGCAACTTCAGAAACTCTGTCAGCACACCTGGAAGCTTACAGCCCGTAAGAACCTTAATCAGGTAGCCAAAATCATAAGCACTGTGAAAAGTCACATAAGAAACAGCATCATTGCAGAGCAGCCCAGAGGACAACATCAATTCAGCAAACCTGGTGGTATCAGCACCACGAGCACGCGTCTTCTTAAAGTCCAACCCGTGATCACGGAGCAACTCAATGGAATCCGGTGCATGATCATCATGCAACACATCAAAATCACGGAAGTTGAACTCCCAGATGAAACCAAAACCACAGCCAAAGTCCGGCAGGTTACCGTAAACATCAGTCAGAGTGATACCTACCTGAATCAGCTTAAGAGCATCAACATTCAATTTCAGATTGTTGTAGAGCTCAATCGGGTTCTTAGCACGTATGTCCGACCGGTATATCACACCAGGGAACTCTGTATCCATTGAAACAAAAGGAAAACGGTCGACCAAGCTACGGATCAACGAAAACTCAGACTCCAGATTGTTCGCCCAAACAGAACGGATGAAAACAGGTTTTTTCACGGCGGCGAACGGTGGAGGTGGTGGGATGACAATGGCGGAGAACGACATGATCGAGATGATCAAAATGCTAAGATAGTGATTTGGGGATTTTGGGATGGTAGGGTTAAGAGGATCTCTCTCTATATATAGAGAAAAAAAAAAAGGAGTTACACTCTATGTGTGAGTGTGGGCCATAGTTTTTCATATGATGCTCGTATTAGAATTTGACTAACTTTAATTCGCATCATGAATAAGCAATTTTTATAATCAAAACTAATAATTAACATTTTTAATGGACTACGCGTTTTTCATATAATGTTGGTATTTTGAGATGGGGCTCGATTAATTACGATGAGTGTCCAAAATGCTCCATAGTCAAAGATTGAAAACTGACACTGTTCATTAAATGATGAATACTCCATAGGATTTGACGAACTTTAATTCGCGTTTTGAATAAGCAATTTTATAATCAAAGACAATAATTAACGTTTTTAATGGACTATGTGTTTTTCATGTGATGTTGGTATTCCGCGCTGGGGCTCAATTAATTACGATGATTTTCCAGAATGCTCCATAGTCAAAGATTGAAAACCGACACTGTTCATTAAATGATGAATACTCCATAGGATTTGACGAACTTTAATTTGCATTTTGAATAAGCAATTTTATAATCAAAACTAATAATTAACGCTTTTAATGGACTATGTGTTTTTCATGTGATATTGGTATTTCGCGTTGGGGGTCAATTAATTACGATGAGTTTCCAGAATGCTCCATAGTCAAAGATTGAAAACCGACACTGTTCATTAAATGATGAATACTTCACAGGATTTGACGAACTTTAATTCACGTTTTGAATAAACAATTTTATAATCAAAACTAATAATTAACGCTTTTAATGGACTATACGTTTTTCATGTGATGTTGGTATTTCACGATGGGGCTCAATTAATTATGATGTGTCTCTAGAATACTCCATAGTGAAAGATTGAAAACTCACACTGTTCTTTAAATAATGAATATGTATTTATTACTCTATTACGGTATTTCGTGGTATATTTAAAAACAATTTATTTCACACATAATTGTATTGTCCATCTACGTGACAATTTATGTCACATTTTTCATGTTTCGATTAAAAGTGTGCATAAATCAATTTAATTGAGAAAAATACTATTGAGTTATTAGGTTAACGGTTTTTAAAATTATTTTAGGAAAAAATGACAAATATACCCCCGAACTATCGTAAATAATATGTAAATACCATCTGTCATACTTTTGGGGCATTGGTGCCCCTGCCATCCAAAAACTGGAGCATATATACCCTTTATATTAACGGACATACACGTGTCATAATCTTATCCACCGACCCAATATTTATTAAATATCATATTGACGAATAAAATTGTGTCACATGTCCCTATTAGTTAAGTTCTTGCATGAATTCATATAAAGGTCAACTTCAAACACTCTTATCTCTCAGCATATAATGAATTAGGTAGCTTATGGCCTATCACTAAAGGTCTATGAGTCTTTTTTCCAATGCCATTGAGTTTTCCTTATTCCAAGTTCGGAGTAAAATGCTATGGTTGTTTTATTGGAACATACCGGGCTGGAAAATTAGGCAAACTTACCTGCTCAATCGGCAATCCACTGAATGGGTTAACGAATCACTGAATTAGCTCGCAGAATTATCCTGAAAACCTTAAGTTTCTATCTATTTGGTGATCTATAGTCCCAATGGGCGATCCACTGGGTATTTTTGGCAAGGAGACCTCCAGATCGCCGATTTGACCGATAGAATTCATTAAAAGGACGTTTTCTTTTATATTTATGATTTTCTTATTTCCTAGAAGTATTATTGACCTTTTACCGTAAATCAACTTCTCAAAGTTCGTCTTACAACCTAATAATATAATTATACGTATAACAACTCTCAAAACCCTCAATTCTTTTTCTTATAAAGATCAAGAACTCCAAGAAATGGATTTCTCCAATTTCTCAAGATCTAAAGGCTCCAAGTTCAAGATTCTTTTTAAGAATTCTAAGGTTTTCAATCTAAGGTTTTTCTCAACTCTTCATCTCCGAGAAAATCAAAAGAAAGACAAAAGTTAGGGTTTCAAGTCTTCCAATCAAGTTTTTCTTCAAACCTCTTCAAGAGCTTTGTTCTTCCAGGTATGTAAGGTTATCTTAGTGTTGGACTAGTTCGTCCTCACGTCCTACATATACTTTCAAATTAGTAAAAGAGTAATCTAGGGTTTCATTTTTAGATTTGAGTATTCTTGAGATGAGTTGATGTTGAGTTCTTAAGTTCATGATTCTTTAACTTTTATTCCTAATTATTAAATTGATATATATTGTGCATTGAGATATATTGAGTTGATTGTTCATGTTTATTCTTCAGCATGAACTCTATCTCTGAGTACTTCATTGAGTTCTTATTGAGAATCTTTTAAAGTAAACATTTTTGTCTTAAATTGATTTTCTGAAAAAACAAAGATGAGTTATGAGAAAGAGTTTTAAAACATGATTAGTATGACAGTCGAGTATGTCATCAATGTTTAAGTAGTATAGTATCTAGATATGTCATCCATGTTTATGCAGTATGACTTCTCGATTCATCAATGGTCAGATCACAATATGATTTTTGATATAGTTTTGAGAAAGGTTTTAAAAAATGATTAGTAGGACAGTTGAGAATGTCATCAATGCTTAAGCAGTATGCTATCTAGATATGCCATCAATGTTTATGCAATATGACTTTCCGAGTTATTAATGATCATATCACAATATGATTTTTGATATAGTTTTGAGAAAAAGTTTTCAAATATGAATTGAGTAAGAGTATAAGGGAAGTAAGTATTTCCAAAGGTATCAGTTTTTACACTGAGAAAATAGAAACTTTGATTTCTAAATGAGTTCAGAGATATTTCAGAGCAGTTACCTCTTTTAAGAGGTTATTTTGAGTAATTACCTCAAATCAGAGAAAGAGTATGTTTTATACATTTGAGCATGAATATATTATTGGGAGTAGTATTGAACACCGATATGGGAATGAGTTCAGACAACTCAAAATCCTCATAAATCATGTCTGTCAATATGGGTAAATAATCATACTTTTTAGATGAATCCTTATCGCTTAGTAGATCCACTTTATTGAGGTGTGCTATATCCCGACAAGGTACATGACAGTTCTGTTAGCGTGGATGAGACACTGTATCATCACGTAGCTCATAGTGATGGTTGTCGATTAGGGAATCTCTCAATTAGAGTTAAAATGTATTTTAATATATCATTTATTATGTTGAGTTCAGAGAATTTTGTAAAGCTCTAAATGATTTAATTCATTTATTTCATTATATTCAACTTGAGTATATTTTATCAATTGTAGTCCTTTCATTAAGTTATTTCGCTTCGGCTATATTACATACTCGTACATTTAATGTGCTGATGTAATTCTACCTGGCATCTTTTTATGATGCAGATACACGTGTTTAGAACCATCAACTGACGTTTCGTTGAGATCACTATGCTTTTCAACTAGCTCTTGGTGAGCCTCCTTACATTCTAGAGGACTTCACATTTACTTTCTAGTTAGTAGTTTTGAGATGTCGTGGTCTTATCCCAACACCCTTCTTTAATAGTAGAGGCTTCATAGATAGATATAGTTGTCTTTCAATATTTACTTTTCCCTTGAGATATTTTTGCAAACTATTATACTTATTTTATTGCGTATTTTGCAGACAGTTTAAGTTGAATATTTACTTTGAGTTCAAATGTTAAAAATTCTATTTTTAACCCATTTATCACTTGAGTAATGTCACACCCCAAACTAGAAGAGGCGTGACAGGCACCTAGTGCCTCACTTAACCGAGTGAACCACTGAGACATAAAGAAAATGATACAACGAGGACCAGCAAGGCTCTTAGATTAACATAGTGAACAAGACAACTGGACTGATAAGGTCACAACATCATCAGGAACATAGTGAAAGGACTAGCAAGTTGACAAGGTTGCAGTCGAAATCATGTATATAACAAGCCGACAAAGCTACAACGAAAATCTGAAAAGACCCAATAGAATATGTCCACAAGTCTCTACGAATACTACAACTCAACTGCCTGGGAAAAGTCCCCCAAAACACCAACAATAATTTAGAACCTTAAGTATGCAAAATCTATAGACAATAGCCACCAACTCCAGGAAGAATGGAGCTTACCAACCCTAAGTTGAGACAACACACCTATTGTGAAGAGTGATCGGGACCTCTTTCTTAACCTGCATCATGAAATTTAGCGTCCCCATGCAATGGGACGTCAGTACGAATGAAATGTACTGGTATGTAAGGCGGAAAGTAGAATCACAAATAATTGTTGTAAAAGGGTAATAAAGATACCACTTGAAACTAAAACTCTGTTAGCCTCCATGGCCAACATTTAACCTCATAAAAAATAAATATGCATGGTATGCTCGTGTACTCATATATCGTGAATACATATATATAAATGCAAATGCATGACATACCCAACCAAATGCTAGCAATGGTGGTGCCTTCCGGTATCGAACCGACATCATATTCGCCAATTTGTGGCCATCTGTGTATCATACATATAAATATAGGCAATAGGCCCCATACCTCCTGATTATAGCTCGGCAATAGAACACATAGCATGCCATGATATGAACTTTGAATGCACATAGTAGGCCATAAAAGAACTTAGCCAATATTGGCTTACAAATACTCATATTCTCGTAATCATTTATGTACAACCTATAAATGTGTCATGAAACCTCATATGTTGTTAGAATAAGCTTGAACACTTGATTCAACTTTAGAAAGGGATTTAAATTGGAAGATGTTCATAAGGTGATGTAAGAATCTACTCATGACTTTACTTAGCTTCCATACGACAATTTAGGCCTACAAAATTCATAATAGACTTGAAACTCTTAACTCGACTTCAACTTAGAAAATTAGTCATTTAGGAATTCAAAAGAAGACTGGCAAACTTGACTTGATTTATGAACGACTCCAATTTGGTAGTAGTATGGTCCTTTTTTTGAAACAAGATTATGTGACGAGTATATA